ACAATATTATTTCTATGTAATACCTTACTTTTATTAACCAAATATATATGGTATAATCAGTTGTTGATTGGTACCTAACCTCTGTTTCTTTTACATTATTAATATATACCATTTAAAATATTGAAACATATGTTTTATAAGAATTTTAATAACAATCATTTAAAAATAATTTAAAAAATAAAAAAAATAAATTAAAATTAATTTAAAAAAAAACCCACAATCTCATTGCAGATATATAAAGAATAGTTTGACCAAATATTTAACGGTGACTCTTTTCTTTCATTATTTTAATATCTCTATTACTTTATTTCTTTTTTTCTTTTTTTTTTCTTTTACTCAGTTCTTTTTTTTTTTATTAAAATATTATCAGAGAGAATTAAATCATGTAGAATAAAAAAAAAAAAAAAATACGACTATTTTTTTACATTTCGTCTTTTTATTTTGAATTTTTAAAATTGTTTTTTATTTAAATAATAAAGTTTTTTTTAATTTTAAATAAAGTTTTTTTTTAAATTTTTTTTAAATTTTTTTTTTTTTTACGAAAATATTTTACAAATAAAAATAAAAAATAAAAAATGAATAAAATTAAAAAAAATATAAAAAAAAAATATTGCATGTGACAAACATTATTCAAGAATAGGAAGACATTATAAAACTAATATTCACAAAAAATATAATTTTTTATATCACTATACTTTATCAAATAATATTTTTGGTCAGGATAATAATCTTAAAACAAATAGAAAGAGTGAAGAGAATGAAGAGGATGAAGAGGATGAAAAAATTGAAGAGGAAGAAGAGTGTGAAAATAAAGAAAGTAAAGAGAATTAAGATTCAAGTTTTGAGGAGCTAACAAAAGAAAAACAAGTTTATGATTGATTAATTTAAATTTAAATTATTACATAAATTTCATTAATTACTTGTTTTTCACACTCTTTCTCTTTACTTTCTTTATTTTCACACCCTTCTTCCTCTTCAATTTTTTCATCAATTTAAATTTATGATTGGTGTATTTATCAAATGTTAAAAGAAAACCCAAATAAAGAAGAAATTTACAAATTGATATGGATTAAAAATCAACAAATGCAGTTCAATTTAAAGTAACAACAACAACAGCTAGAACAACAACTAGAACAACTAAAACAACTAGAACAAAAATTAGATATGTTACAAAATCCAAATCCAGTTAAAGCCCAAAGAAAAAATAAAGGATTTGGTCAAAACCAAAGAAAATAATCAAATAAAAAATTTCGTTAAAACATGGTTCAAAAAAGACCTTCCAAAATTAATTTCTATCACAAATGAAGAAATCCCAAAAGAATTATTAGAACATTTAAGAAAGATGATAAATGTAGAAAATAAAAATCATTTCATGTATCCATGGAGTGATCGATCACTTATATCGCTTGTAAACGAAACAAAAAAAAATATTACATATTTATGGAAACTAATTATTTTAAAGAATTATGAGCTAAATACCCAAATTATATGTTCAATGAACAATTACAACTTGAAAAAGAAGTTATAGATATGGTTTCTAATTTTTTTTTAGAATTACTGTTGATGAAGATGCCACAAAATTTGCAAAATGGATTTTAAAGGGGAAACTTTTTGTTCTTATTCACAACCAATAGATATAGATAATAAATGTAAAAGAGTGGGTAATCTTCTTGCTGGAAAACATATAAACAACCAAAACAAACAGACAAATAATAAGTAATAAAATTTATATATTAATTATTATATAATTAATATGTGAGTGTCTAACAATAAATCATCCATAGATATTATTCCACAAAA